CACTGGTGTAAAACCATCAATAAATAACAAAGTAATTGTATTTTCTTTATAGCAAAGTAGAAAATGGCGTTTTCTGCCTTCTACCAATTGCATTCTGGGACAGACTCCAATGCTCTACCTATTGGGTTTATGTAAAGCACACTGTAGAAATAACGCTTTTTGCAGCCCACAACAACTTTTCAGCGTGTCATTTAAAATGCAGATTCGAAGCTGGTAGACACAGACTTGTAACTTTTATATAATTTTTTACTAATGTGTGAGAATTACACAATTCAGAACATGATGATGCTGCATTTGTCACCTTTGATAAATCAGCTCCCACAATGTCATAACTCTAATTCCATTTGGTGGACATCTTGATCCAAAATGACTCACAATAGCTGACAAAAGCCCATCCACTTTCTTTAGCATGGGTGGCCCAGTGGGAATCAAATAGCCAACTCAGGCAGGGTTAGAGTGTCGTGTTCTTCCCACACAGTATACGAAGCAGTATCTGTGTGGAAAAGACCATTAAGTGTGGTGTTATCATCTGTGAGAAATAAAATCTGTCAAAACTAAGATTAATATTAGTTGTCTGTTGGATTATTTGATCAGGGATCAGGCCGAGTGTTTCATAGTAACCATGCCATGACATCTTTCCTCTAGGTTAGATAGGCCGATTTAATGTTTATTTAAGTAATCAGTCAGATTTTGGCAGTTTGTGCTAAAGCAGGCCACACACTGAGGTAAGAGTTTGAATGATGAGCTGCTGGTCTTACTGTGATACCTGAAGAGAGAGGAAGAGATCACAAAATTAAACCTGCAGGATGATTGCTCACTACTGTCACTGATGTCATTTGTGTGTTAGACAGGTACAACTGTAGGCAGTAGTGTGGCATGAAACCCATATTAACCCAGAGCTACACAGCACGAGAAGAGAATGTGACACCTCTGTTTTTACACTGTGTACTCTGATTCAAAATCAAATAAAAGGAGATGTAATTAACTACATGTTTTTCTGGAATTTAAATATGTTGTATTTTATGTATTTACAGTATGTATATTGTATTTTATGAGTATTTCTAAGTCATTTTAATACATGGTTAACACCAGAGTATACTTTGCTATAGCTGAAATCACATACATCACTGAGTGCAAACAGAAACAGAACAGTTGTAGAGCCATTCACATCAAATTTATCACATTTGAAAGATATTTCCCTTTGTTAGCACACATGAACCACTGTTTACTGTACAATGTGAAAGTTTCACATACAGGGTTTGCGGTCATGTCACATCAGATTGATTCATAATACTGAGATATGATTTTCAGGTACTTCACATCTGAAAATAGACGGGAGGTTGAGCAGCTGGTCCTGTGGTGTAGTCACAACAACTTGGAGCTGAACATGCTCAAAACAGTGGAGATGACAGTGGGCTTCAGGAAGAGCCCCCCCACCTTACCCCCCTCACCATACTTGGCAGCACTCTATCAGCAGTAATGTCCTACAAGTTCCTGGGCTCCACTATCTCCCAGGACTTGAAGCGGACATCCAACATCAGGACCATCACCAAGAAGACACAGCAGAGGATGTACTTCCTGCGCCAGCTCAGGAAGTTTGATATGCCGCTGATACAGTTCTACAGAGGAATCATCGAGTCTGTTCTCTGCAGAGTAAGATGAGGCAGTAGGACAGGTTTTAATGTCTTTCTGTAAGATAGACAGAAACAGATGCAGTCTTGCAGGATCAGGCTGAGAGCAGTCCTCAGTTCGATCTGAAGTTGAAACTCCGGCAGGGCGCAGTGAAGGCAAGGCAGAATCGTAGGTCGGTAGAACAGGCAGAGTGTCGATATCAGTATAGCAGTCAGGCAAGAGGGAGGAGGCTGGATTGGGTTGGTGGAGCAGGCAGGGGTTCAGTACCAGGATAGCAGTCACAAGAAAATAAAGCTGGAGAGTCTAGACAGGGCATAAAACAATCTGGCAGCTCCCCACAGGGTGGGGTGCAGGTGAGAGCGATTATGGGACAGGTGAAACCAGTGTGCATGATGAGATGAAGTTACCGGGAGTTAGGGTGGGCTGGAGACAGGAAGTAGTGCCAGAATAAAAGCAGGGCAGGAAGTGGATGGGGCAGGATCATGACACGATTTTTCCACCAAGGAAACAGATCTGCTTGTGTGTGAGTTGAAGATGCACGATCACTATTCAAAATGGTATTTATTATAAATGCATAAATATTGATGTGCACAACACCCAATGAACACAATGTAATCATTTTATTTTTTTAGGTTTTGAACATACGCATCCTAGGGTATAACAACCACAGTGCACAAGCATTGTGCACACACCTAGAAAGGCACACATCACAACACAGTCAAAGTGCCCATTAACTAGTAATGATCATATGTCTGTTAACCACAGACCTGTTTTTTGCTGCTCAGTGGCACAGTCATGTCTCATTTTTAGAATTTTCTCAATTATAGAAACAAAACAAGTGGTCTTGTCTCAGTGGTGCAGTGGTGTAGTAATTTTATTTTCTGGTCCCCTTAAACAACTACTGACACTTTGTGAATGAAATTTGCCCACACTTGGAATTTGGGGGCCGTGGTGGTTAACTATCTTGCGGGTAGTAGGGTTTAGTAAAACATATAAGAAGAAATAAGAATACAAATACATTCTTGCATCAAATTCAGGTACAAAATTAAGATCAGTATATAAACAAAATGATGAATAAATTGTGTAAGTCTTATGAAAACATAACATGGGGGTTTGCTAGGTGGTATACTTATTGCGATAAAACAGCTTGTTCTTTACTGGTGACCTCACAATAACAATGCTTCCTCTTTCTTAAGTCACGTGTCACTGTACTGACCAATCAGAAATCAGGAGGTCTTATAGTGAGGTAAAAGCAAGGAAATCCAGATTATTTTATACAGCTTTAAAGTTACTAATGAAAATACTTTTACTTGTGAATATGCCACCAAATATGTAAATAGTTAACTGTGTAAGCATAGTCAATAAATCCTTGTAACTTAATTAAAAAAATATGAATTAACATTATTTCTCCTCTGAACCTTAGAATAGCTACGACCTTCTGTAGTAAAATCTAACAAGCCTCTTAGTTCTTACATACATTTAAAGTAAAGACTGGTTTTCACACATGATGGAATGGGGCACAAATCAGATTACTGAAATGCAACTTTTGTATATTTAGGGTGAACTAGCTGCCAGTGTAAACAGCATCCTCCCTTGAGGAAATCTGTCTTCAAGACAAACAAAGTGTTATCATCGCACTGGACTGGAGAATCCATCATCATTATGACCTCATAACTGTCGCCATGGAGAATGTGCAGTCATTTCCAGCAAACATGTGTGTGTGCGGTAAGGTATTGGCAATGGTGTTGGGGTGGTCCGAATCATCCCAACGATGCCCAGGGATACATCATCATCTGCTGGTCTTGCACACTGTTCTCCACACCTGCACACATACACATGCACACACATAATTGCATCTGTATGGCAACAAGAAGCCCTCACTGTGGCGAACATCATTCTACATGCGTAAGCACATTTGGTCTTAACAAGTTTAGAAATGCAAGAACTTACGCACATGCAAACACTCATGCACAAATAGCACAAATACATGCACAGTCACAATCACATACACCTACACACAACAAACCCCTGTAGAGCCTGTGAAGACATTTCATTCGAGGACAATCACAGAAACTTTGAGGGGAGAGAGAGAGTGTGAGGCATGCAGACAGATGATAAGAAAGAAAGAAAGAAAGATTCCAACCAAATAGAAACTCAAGGAAAAATAGCACACTGACAAAGAGCTAAATAAAATGAAATAACGGTATATGAGAATGCATTTTCATCTGAGAAAGAAATGTATTATGTTTTGTATGTATGTTATGTATGTTTTTCATTTTACAAAACAGCAGCCAGTTAAAGCCAGATCTATTGTAACAATGTCAAATGAGAACAATGAAAAGAACTTCTCATGAAAACAAACATCAATATATAATTGAAAAAACATTTTCCTTATGTTGGCAAAGTCTTCAAATCTGATTGTTACCAAATGGCACAGTTACATTTATTGCATAATTATTAAAGTACTGTCTTGTTGGAGGAAAGCCACTGACCACTGACTGAAACCAGAGTGGCTGTACATGGCCCTTTGGTGTGGCTACAGCATTTCAGTTGCTGTGTCTTGTCTCAGATATGGTATGTGTCATCATCTGCACCAGCCACCACAACACTTAGCCATCTCAGTTTGTCAATTCACACTGGCATGTGAGTTAGCTAATGTTGCACTTTCACACCTTGTGTCACAGCCCTGCAAATCAGTACAGCCACAGCAATAAATAGCAATAATAGCTATAAACACAGTGATGGCAGTTCCCATAGCTGTTCACAGTGTAACCCACCACACTATCACAGCTTCACCAGCAGCCACTAATTGGATTAGCTGAAACGTCAGTGTTAGTGAACCTTCAGCGACCATGATGTGTTACTTTCATCATCTCATCACAACATTTTGACTAGTGTCAGTACTAGTTTTTGAGTATGTTATTTTCAAAATAACATGGCAAACAGACTAGATGACATTAACTATCTTAATAACATTTGTACTTCTATCTACCACCTTAATGGAGAGCTTTATATAGTTAAAATAAATTCATTTAACCTTAGGCTATATTTTGCTTAACCCACACCCATTTCCACAGCCAGGTGCAGACAGCTGCATCAGTTGGTACACCCACCAGCCCTATGGCTACAGTCAGAGGAGGTGCACCCACTGAAATGCTGTAGATAGTGTTGTTGTTTTTTAGTCGTGGTAGCTTTAAGTTCTCAAGACAACTTCCTTTCTCTAACTAGTTTTTACAGCACTAAAATGGAAGAACTGCCTTAGGACCAGATCAGTCAAGTGAAAACTGTTTACCTAGATAAAGTTCTAAATAAATAAATGAATAAAAAGCTGCAGCTCTTTCAAACAATCAGTTTTACTGTTACCCTGGATAATTCACAGAACATATACAGTTTTCATAAGGACGAATTCTTAATATTAAAACTGTTAACAGCACGTTCTATTGCTTGTTACAATAAAAGATGCAGCTGTTATGATAAGTACTACATATTCAGTTTTTCTCTATGCTGAGCATGAAAAACCAAATTCCATTCACCTCAGTTAAGATACCAGCTGATATATTAAAAAATAAAACCAAAACTCGTTGCGTAACAAAATACCAACAGGGATAAGTCAACTACATCTGTTCATGTCTTGCATTTCCCTTTCTTTTCTCCTAACGTCTTTATGTCTTCTCTGTTGAGACACCCTAGGACTCAAAACATTAAGGTGCCGCTACTGTTTGTCACCTGCTCCGGTGTGCCAGCAGGTTTCTGCTCTCCAGGAAATCAAATGTCACTGGAGCTTCTTAAAGTTACTAATTCAGCCTCCTCAGGGGAGCTGAACATAATGCAAGCATTTACGTAAGACTGTTCTCTTTCTCTTCCGCCTGCTTGCTGTCTCACCCCCCTCTCTCTCCTCCTGGTCCATGCTCTGTGTAAACTGGTTGCTGGCACCATCTTGTGCCCAGAAAAGTAACTAACAAGAGTAGTTTTATATTTATTTAGTACATCCCAGCATTATGAAGACACTACTGTACTAATATACTTTTCTGAAAATCAAGCACTTTATTTCAACAGTTTATACAAATTGTAAACTTTACTCATTATAAACAGTCTTTTAGTGTAAGTGTGTGAGCACAAAAACATAAATGTTTATTAAAAAAATGAATTTTCATTCATACAGTATGTGTGAAGTATGTGTCACATATACATTAGTCTGTGTGCTCCTCCTCTGTCTCATCCTTGGTGATGGGAAATTCCAGTGATGTCCTGAACCGAATGGGCACCTGGCGCTCCTCACTGACAGGCTGTTTGGCCACAGGGGCGTGAATTCGCAGCTGTCCGTTATCCATCAGGGAACAAGATAGGCCAGACAGATCCACGTGATCGGGCAGGTTGATCTTCTGGACGAACCCCATCTGAGATGCTGCTGCAGAGCAGAGGGAGGCGCAGGAGGATGAGGAGGAGCAGGACTGGGTCTCTTCTGCTCCTGCCTGCTTCGTGGCCACCACTGCCAGGCTCCGCCCTTCTAGTTTGACCATGATTTCACCAGGGGCATAACCACGAGCATCAATGGTCACCAGGAGGTCGCTGTTGTTTTCTGTGACTTCCTTGTGTAGCTCTGTGCTGGGAGTCTCTTTCTGCTGTTCTTTACCATCACTCAACCTGAAAGAGAATCAGAATCGGTATCAGAATCAACTTTGTCATCATCATCCACTGATTTGGACATGAGCAAACCAACTACAAGTTTGAAAACAGCCTAGAACTCACCCATTTAAGTCTATCTACTGCTCATATACTCAGTGACTGCACATACCTTTCCAAAGTGGAGGAAATGAGGGGCATCTGGATAAGTCTGAGCAGGGGAAGCCCATCGTGGAGCTCCCTCAGGAAGCTGTCAGCCAGCTTGGCTCTCCGGTTGAAGAAGTCTTGCTGCAGTGAGGAGAGGGCCTCGCGATGTAGGGGCCGCAGCAGCCTGTCCTGGGTGAAGAAAGGGTCATCACTGAACAGGCTAGCAGACTGGGACATCATGTCTTCTTTGGAAATCTTTGTTTATAAGGCAGTGTTCAAGCAGTGGGTATCGTAGCCTCTTTGTTTCTTGATTGCAACGTCCCTCTCTCCGACCTAATATCTTGAGGTTCCGGTGAAGAGTGAGAGCTCAAAGCTTCCCCAGTTTCTTCTTCTTGTTAGTCTTCTATCAGATAGTTTGGGACATTACACAGGACTCGTTTCCTTTATATACCCTAGCTGTTGTGCTCTGGCCCACCCACTGGGCTATTTACAGCCCATTAGCTCACTGCTGTTTGTGAGCGTGTGGTAGCAAGGCCAGGAATGGCCTGCAACTCATCAAGTGCTAAAGACAGCTCATGGTCACATCCTGTTTGTGTTTGTCTTAACACTGCTCCAAGAAATGTCCTGTTTATTACTTTTCATCCCTAGTTGGAAAAATACTGATGAATGTCTTTATTCAGCAAACACCAATCAAGTGTAAAAGCTCTTTTGTAGTATCAGAATAAAATGTAGATACAGTCTAAAATGAGAGTAAGAAACAAAGTTAAGGACAGTATGATTCTCATAGTCAATGTTTTTTTTATCTTAACAAATTTTAGACGTTAATACGTTAATATTCATGTTATTGAGCAAAAATGTTTTTACTGTCAGAGGCTTTTTCTCAGTGAGTTTAGGGGAAGGTAAGAAAAAGCAGATACAAGGACAAGACTGGCTTATTTACGGGCTTCATTTCTTTTTCTTACAGATATGGCAAACAAGACTAAAACAACTACAAATTCAGATTTTGGCTGCATTCAAGTTTTATAAAATACTAGAAACTACTGAAAAGTGTGGTACTGCTCTCACACTACAAACTATGAACAAGAAAGTGAATAAGCATCTTTCCCCAAATGTGTCAGTCTATTCCTTTAACTATTACACAGCTAGCATTAGACTGGATAATGAGACCAAATAACTGAAAGTCATTTGATTGCCAGTTAATGTGATGTTATAATTCCCTGTGAGAACTGACACACTGTAACGAAAATGTTCTGAGAACAACTGGGGAAAGTGAGGTGTATAATCTTTTATTATTGTTATGGCTCACAGACATGCCTTTAAAAGGTATGTGAACATTTTTCCTGGAACAGTATAAAATGATATCTGAGATTCAGATTTCAGCAGCTGTTAACCTACAGTACAGACCAGCAGTGTAAATAAAGCCTGTCTTATTGTAGGCCACAAGGCTTCATCACTGCGTTTTGGAGGGTCGTCCTCAGAGCATAAACATTTCACAGAGTCTGTGTGTGTGTGTGTGTGTGTGTGTGAAGCCAGTGTGCTGACATTAAAAGGAGCTTGTGTCATATCTATTTGTGACTGTCTTGGCGTGATACTGTAAGACTGCCTTCACATCATTGGCTCAAACAGTGAACTAGCTCCCATGTGATTGGCTAAGAGAAGCTGCCTGATTTCCCATTTCTGATTGTGAAAATGTACAGGAATAAAACGGATAAAATAACATCAGTTTATTTATATTATTTTCAATGTTCATGTAGTTTTTCCACTTTACTCAGTTAAATATTTTCTTGGCATGAGTATTATTGAAGGTATTGCTGACTGCATCAAAGATATTGATCCTACACTAATTTTAGGTTTCTTTTATTGTTTGTTTATGGTAAGCTTGACAGATTTAGACTGAAGTTAGACTGAAGTTAGACAAAGTTAAGACATCATGAGAATGGAAAAAAAAAAGGATAAGTCAACTTTGAGTTACGGTTACTGCAAAAATAAACTAGTACGTCACTGAACCAGGGGATTCCAGGGACAGAAATAGAAAAGGGGGATTCAAGATGGCTACCTTCTCCTCAGCTTTAAATAAGTGGGTTATTATTACAGCACCCAGCCCAGGTCGGTCATTATTTATAACTGTATGAGAACATCCGGCTTAAATCTCCTCACAGTCATATCTAGGTTATATGTGCACGTGTATGCATGTGTAGGCAAATGAAATCTGTAAAAAATGTATTTGAATAAACTATAAATATATAAAAGTGAGGTACAGTTTCAACATAACATGTTTAAATTTAACACTGCCTTTAAAAACATTCAATTTCATCTATTTCAATAAATTTGGATTCCAAATTGTTTTACAAGCCATCAACAAAGATATTTCCAAACAAATACATTTATAAAACAACATTTACTTCCATTACAACTGCACTCTGATGATCTGAAAAACTGTTTTAGTTGTAATTTATTATGTTTTTGTCAACCAACAGCTGGCAGTAACTTCATATTTAGCTTTCAGAAATAAGAGTGGTATCAGTGTAAGCAAAAACTGAAATGTTTATTTTCCAAAAGTCCTCTTGACATATGTTCCTATAACTATTGATTTGACAAGATAAGAAGATAAATATAGGTGTAGAGAACCCAGTAAGAGATGCTTATATGATGGAAATACTGTGATCAACCATAGTGGAGATGTCTTAAGTGAAATGAAGTGATTTTCAAGTAAACTTGCTAGACTTAATGTTTTTTTTTTTAAATCTGTATGACAAACAAAATAACAATAAAAGAATAAATGTTTAAGGACTCAATAATCTGTGCTGTCTACAACATCTAAATAATTTCTTTTTTTTTTTTGCACATGCTGTATATACAGCTTGATTAATCTGATTCAAAGTAAAGGGATTACCATTACCAGTTATTACAATTTGCTCTGACTGGCCAAGAATATTTGTGCCAAATTTCATGGCAATCTATCCAATAGCTGCTGAGACAAGTTATTACAAATGTCAACCTCATGGTGGCACTATAGGACTTTTTTTCTGGGGATAATGAATGTCATTAAAAATGTTCATGGTAAGTTGTTAAGATGCCTAAAGCTAGACTAACCAACAGACTCACTGTAGTATACTTTGAGTCATGCAACAAGAACAAAAAAACTTTAAAGGGAGTATTTAACAGTGTTGCAAACTCTTGGAAGGCAGGAATCATAATGTAGCACTAGTCAAGAATCAAAAATATGAATGTGTTTGAGTTAAGCTCAAAAAGGCCATCCCTGCAGTAATAAGAGTTATCAACAGAGGCAGAAATGTGTATTGACCTTTACCATAGATGTTATATAAATATGGACAACTGACAGCTCCCACAAGTGTAGGTATACCATATAGTACAGGTCCTAAACCGTGATCCCTCCATGGTAGCAAATGGGACATGAGCCAAACTAACATTTCAAAGTACAAATCAAATACATTTTTTTTTCCAGAGGTGATTTCTGTCATTTTAGGTAGATATTGTTGTGCTGTGTACAAGTGGTCATTTTTATACCAAGTTTGTTTTAAGAATGTATTTGATTATATAAAAGGGTGTAAATCAGATTGTTTAACAGCTTTGTTTGGTGATCTGATAAGTTACTCAACTGCTCGGCCACTACTACGCAGAATCTGGTTGCAAAATGCCAAAACTAGCAACGGTGGTTTTCACAAAAATTCGGCTTTACTTTTGCATAGTGGCGAAGTGGCAAGGCATTGTCCATATTTAAATGCAGTATATGGCCTGTACTGATTTGCCCTAATGCAAGGAATCCAGGAAAAGAAAAGTTCTGGTATTACACCCCATGCGTCAAGATTTATGGAATAAAACCTGAAATACTTCAGAAATGCCTGGAATGGTCTGGTTCTGTACCCAAAACTAATCACACAATTTAATGTGAGGTCTACAGCTTCATGAAAAATGTTTCCCCTCTCGCCATACAGGTGATATGTCTCTTCCTCAGCCTGAAGCCCTTTACCCGAGGCCTGTGTGTTCTGCACAGTATCTAACAGTAGGTATTCCTGGCACTACACTACACTGGATAGAGTTCTGATGGTAATACTGGGATCTGTTTGAGTCTGAGTGCAGCTATGGTAAAATATCCCTAAGTAAGACATCTCAGCTATATTTTGATGGAAAATCCCAAGGTCTTGTCTTGTCATGGCTCTTCCACTGCTTGATCTTCATTCTCTGCCTGCTGCTTTGGACATTCTTTCAACAGCTTGTATTTGGGTTCCATCTTGCAGATGTACTCCTGGATACTCTGACCTTCATCCAGGACAGTGGCCTTGACAGTCACCAGGCCTCACCCACCTTCTTTCTAGCTGGTGCACAGACTCTGGGTACTGGACTTGGGGTGGAACCCATTCACTGTGAAGAGTTTTCCAGATCTTGACAATGACCTCCTCCTTTGGCCAGCTCATTATAGGGGCAGGTCTGACAGAACTGGCAGGGCATCTACAAACATATACACACTGGCAGTCCTATTATCTTTGAGTAAGAACAAGCTACAATATTTGTAGCATCATTCCACATTTACCTGTCCCTGCACTTTTACTGGCAATTGTACTTTTAATTTGGCAAAAAACTGTCCTCTGTCAAGCTAAACTATGTGACTAGTAGACACTTAAAAGTTTTGATAAATATCCTCATTTTGTCCATTAATTTCCACAGTTTGCTCACAAATTGATTCAGTTATATTTTCATAGTCATTTTCATCATCACTGGTTTCATCTTCTTCATCATCATCTTCTACCTCATCCTCCCTGCTCTCCTCTGCAGTGAAAAGGACCTCACCAGCCATTACGTAACTTGGTGTGGGACCTGCTTCCTCATAGTCATGACCCTCGTCACTCTCTGGCTCCTCATAATCATCGATGTACTCTTCTTCCACTCTCCCTGCTTCCTCTTTGAGTTTCTCCTTTGTGTCCACTAAATCAACATTCACATAGTCCTCGTCCTACTCATCTTCATAGTCATTCCCAGCTCTGTCAGTCACTGAAACACAAAGATCAAAAGAAAGTGTGAATACATATGTAAGCTTGTATGTGTAAGTCTGTATTGTAAATGAAGAAACTCTGTATCCTGTGAAGCACATACATTGACTTAGCACAAGGACTACAGGCTGCTTGGCTTGTCGTCTTCTCCTGTGGACCAGGCAAATCACCAACAAGATCAGCAGGAGTAGCAGCAGGATCCCAGAAGCTACCGAGGAGACCAGGGGTAACAAAGGCACTAGGAGGAAAAACATTTAGCAGTGTATCCTTGAGAACATGTCAGATTCTCCATGAATGTTACATATTGTTATTATAGAGAGTGCAGTTTTCATCTGAATCTCAGACCTCCTCTCTCTGTTGCCAGTTATAGAAATCCTGATATCAGTGAGAACTTTATTCCAGTCATCTCTCATCTTTTTCACTATACTAGGCATTGTGAGCACAGCGCCTGGCTGGTTTAAGTCCTACCTTACAGATCAGTCATTAAAAGTGGCATAGTAAAGATAAGTGTGACATTCTTTCCACTGGGATACCACAAAGATTGGTGTTTGCCCCCTTTCTCTTTTCAATATACACCACTTCCCTCAGTCTGATTATCTGTGTGTATGTTTTTACCTACTGCTGCTATGCTGATGATGCCCTACTGTATTTGTCCTTCCCACCAGACAGCCCCACCGTCTCAGCACAGATCTCAGCCTGCCTCACTGATATCCTAAAATAAATAACTCGTGACCCCAGGCAGTGGTCTGTACAACATCAGTATCCAACTCAGCTCTACTTCACTCTCACTACCAAAGTCTGCAAAAAGTTGTCCCAAATACTGTGCAAATGTCACAGCATCAGTCAACACATCAGTCTATCTCTTTTATGTGATGCATTCTGTAGTCTCCAGGTCCTTAGAGCAAAACATTGTTTCACTGACAGCCAAGTCCTACATGTGTCTTACTTATGCCCAGGAAAAGATGATCTACAAAGGGCCTGTTTGGACCCTGCCGTGACCCAGGGCCCAGGACAACTGATCCAATGTTCCCCTGATGTCAGCAGCTCTGCTGATAGCACCTCTTTTCCATTATCTGAAACTGTTTTCAAATCCACCTGTGCCATTCACATAGGTCTTGCTTTTCTTCTGTCAGCACTAAATAAAGAAAACATGAATGTTTTTACGTCCATCTATCCACCGACTCTGTATGCAAACATGTCACCTCTAAGTCTCACTTTGCATATGAAAAAGTGCACTGAGGGACCACTCCACCACCTACAGATGTTTTGCTTATTACTCCACTTGTTACTTGCTCTTGCTTTCATCTACACAAAATATCATTTGCATAAATTTACTATTTAATTCCTAAACAGTGTGCATAAAGGTCCTCTACAGAGTCTCTAAAAATAATTTACATTCTCATAAATGAAACATATAAAAGAGTTACTTCTCCTTGAGTATTTTCATTATATGCTTTTTTTTACAGTTATAGTCCACTACATTTTTTCCACTGCATTTATTTAAAAGCTTTACATTTTTACTTTACACATGTTTGTATACAAAACATATAACTGGCTTATGATGCGTTGCTGTAGATTACACTACTCAACAATTAGTAAAACTGGAACTTTGAGGTTTGATTGAAAAACAAGCAATTTCAGATTGTCACTTTGGCATTTTGTAGTTGTGATGAATATTTATCACTACTGTCTGAAGCTTTGCAGTCTAAACAACTGAGGGATTAATAGAGAAAATGATCAGAGTAACCCACAGCAAAAATAATCACGAGTTGCTGCCCTATTTACAGTGCAATGGTCAAAAATTAACTACACCTACATTAACCGTAAACTGCTGCTTACAAGTTAATACTGAACATGAGTGAATGATCTAATGTCACATTTTTCTGCCTTGAGTACTTCACATTTTATTGATCATACATACAATATTCAAACCTAATTGGCCAAAAATGCAGAAAAATGTCTGTATTTTTTCATTTAGTAAGTAAACCACAATGAACAACAGATCACACAAGTTAGATTTCAGTTTAACTTCCTTTTCATATTCGCCCTCTCCTTCCTGTTTGCTCCTGTTTCTCTTTCTGCCTCATCTCTGTCCCCATGTCACTGTCTAATTTGCATCAAAGTATAAACTTGTGCTGATAGAATAAATATTGAAAAATCCTGTCTGAAACATATGATGTGATTTATGATGACAGTTGGCCTTGTACATAGGTTTAGAGCACCACTGTCATGTTAGACTACAGTCTGTTTTATTCATTTATTAGATAAAATGTAAAAATTCTTAAATTATACAGTGTACTTACCTTTAACAATGACAATAATTGGTGTTGTCTCAGTGGAATTGAATCTCCGTGCAGACAGTGTGACTTCGTACACACAGCTGTAGTTGCCCTGGTGTTCATACTCTGCTACAGGGAAGTCAAAGGAGGCTGAGTGGTTGACTGCTGACTTGGTGCTGATGATGTTGGAGCCAGAGAAGATGAGAAAGAAACGGCCATCAGGATAGCTGCAGTTTATGGAGCAGGTGATGACAAAGCTGTAACCCCTGGTGACCTCTGCA